CCTCCTCCTCCTCCTCCTCCTCCACTCCCACAATCACACCCCCCCCCCCAACCAAGGGAAATGCCTTCAGAAGCCCCTCCCTCGGAGCTTGGTCCCCGCCAGCCACGTTCAGGAGCTGCGGAGACCCCGCGCCGTGGCCCCCATCCAGAGCCCCCTCCCCCGCCCCCCTTCCCCCCAGTCCCGGCCCTTGCCTTCACCTTGACCCGGGCCGCTCCCGGCCCCAAAGCTTAGCATAAACAAAGAGCGGGGCAGGGGACAACCCGCGCACCGCCCCCGGCCCGCCGGCGCCCCCGGCGCCCCCGGTGCCCCCCTCTCCCGTCCCAGAACCCGAACCAGTCCCGTCCCCGAGCCCCCCGCAGAGCCAGGCGGCCCGCGGCCCCTTACCTTGGCCTGGCATTTCCGATGACAGGAGAAGCTGCAGACTGCGAGAGGGCGAGACACAGAAAGAAAGTTTAGCCGCGAGGTATGAAATGGAAACTCCGGCGAATCTCCTCCCACCCCCGCCCGCACTCCGCGCTTGGGAGGGAAGGAGGGAAGGAGGGACGGAGGGACGGAGGGAAGGAGGGAAGGAGGGAAGGAGGGACGGAGGGAGGAGGCGGCGGAGGGGGGCCGCTGCCGCAGCTCCCCCGGGCCCGCGGGGTGGGAATGCCGGGGACTGCGGACCCTCCGGCTGGGGAGGCACCGAGCCCCCATCACCAGAGCCCCTGGGGCAGGCCTGCGAAGGTGGGAGAAACAGGAGGAGGGGAGGGGGGGGACAGACTCCCCCGCTGGATCCCTGCCAGGGGCAGAGGTGGCCCGGACCCAGGCCCCATGCCAGCCGCGCCAAGGAATAACGGGGGCCTTCTCCCCTTACACACACACACACACACACACACACACACACACACACACACGTGCGTGCGCGCGCGCCAGGAAGGCAGTCGGCACCCCAGGAACCACAATCGCACTCACTCTCCCCTAGAGAGGGACACACGGACCCGATTTACAGTCCAGGAGAAGACCGGTGCACACACATTCGCATTTACACACATACACACATAGACTCACCCATAACCACTTATACCCATACACTCAGCCAGACGTGCAAACATAACCATATGTACACATATAGCCTCACACACACTCACACTCATGCCCAAGGGAAACCTCTGACTCAGGGACACCAACACACAGCCTGACACGGACGTGTAGACACAGACACACGGACAGATGCTCATACAGGCTCACAAACTTCTTGTCCATCATTTGAAACATACACACACACACACACACAAAGGACTTAATTCTGCCCTCCCACTACCAGAAGCTGGAATCAAATTTCCTCTGGGGTTCCCTCCGTCTGGAATGTCCCAGCCCTGCCTGCCCCACCCACAGGGCCCTCCACCCTGGGGTTTGCTGGTCCCCTCCCACCAAGTCCCACAGATGGAGTGAGGGGTCTCCTGAGCAGAGCTCCTACACGGACTTGACCTTATTTGCTACCCACGACCTGCTGAGACAGTGGGTTAGCAGCACTGGTTAGAGAACAGGGGTCGGGGAGGCAGGGGAGCTGCTGCAA